AATATAATAAATAGAGATGAACTAAAAAANAAAAAAAAAAACAGTAATTTTAAAAAAGAGTGAAAAATGATTTTATTATTAAACTGATGAAAATACATCGTTGAGATTTTCATGAATGCGAAAAAAAAAACAATCATTAATGTAATGATTAGTTTATTGACAAGTTATTGGGAATTTCAATTTTATTAGTTTAAAATTCGAAATAATTTCCAAATATACAAAATTCGAAATAATTTCCATATAATTCAAAATAATTTTTAGATACACAAAATTCGAAATAATTTTCAAATATACAAAATTCGAAATGATTTTCATATAATTCGAAATAATTTTCAAATACATAAAATTCGAAATAATTTCCAAACATACAAAATTCGAAATGATTTCCATCTAATTCGAAATAATTTTCAAATACACAAAATTTGAAATAATTTTCATATTTTGCAAATTATAACTATGGTATTCAGTTTTAATTCATATATATATATGTACGAAAATGCTTGAAATTTTAAATGCATTAAAATTTCTTATTCTAAAATTTACTTAACCCAATAAAATTCAACCCATTAACTTTTAATATGTGAGCGCAAAACACTTACAATATCAAAAATACTGCGATGTTAAATTTTTTTTTACTAAAATTTGCTGATTTTTTTCTTTTCGAATTTCGTAATAAATATTTATTTTTCGATTGTACTTTATTCACTTTTTTGCATGTGTTGTTCAAAAATAATTTAAAAAAATTTTTTTCAAAAAAAAAATGTTTTAAAAACTTTTTATATAAACGATTAAAATATGTGGATTTTAAGAAATGAAATTTGAGCGATTGAATAAATAAATAATTGATAGATGAAATATGCTAAGCTTTTTACATGACATTGAGGAAATAATAAAGTAAGCAAAATTTTGAACAAACAATTGACGAGAAAAAAAAAGAAAAAAAGCAAACAGATTATTGTCATGTGACAAAAAATAAACGTGAAACGTGTATTAATCAATAATATTCATCAAATATATTTTTAAAAATTAATTAAAAATTTATAATTATTATGATTAATTAGGAAAATTTGAAATTAAATTTAAATTGCATATATATTTTTTAGATGAGTAAAATAAACTTCTCATAGAAAAAGATTAAATTGGAAAAAAAATTTTTAACAATTCAATAATTTATCAATTTCTAATAATTTATTAATTTCTAATTGTAATTATAAGCTATAAATGAGTAGAAAACAAAAAGTTGAATTATAAATTAGTGATAAATATTTTAGAAAAAAAAGTGAAAAATTTAAAATAAAATTTTTTAACTTTTTTTTTTACTTTTAAACTTACCCTGGAAATGGATGTAATGGTAATGGTGACAAATAACTACTCATTATTGTTACTTGAACATTAACATATCATCACACAAAGATAATATGCTCGAAGTAAAATGCCAATGCTAATGAAAACTTCACAAACATTACATTTTCATTTTCCATTTTGTAAATAGAAAGAGAAGCAGAAGAAAAATGTGTAATAAATTTTATGGCACTTTTACTTTAACAAATTTTTATTTCTATCGTTTTACTCTCTTCAATTTTTAAGTTATTTTTATATATCTTTTTGTTGAAAAACTTTTTTCTTTTTCTTTTTCTTTTCCTTTTTTTTTTTTTCATTTTTCCAATTTCTATTTCTATCACTTCCGTTTCCATTTCACAATTTATCCAATAAACTTCTTAGTCTCTTTGTTAAAGTATTATTTGAAATTAGTAAAGTGGAGAGTTTAATATTGAAATTGAAATGGAAAATTATTATATTTTAAATGAATAACTTAGTTAAATGTATAATATTAATGCATTTATTACTATCAAATGAGCAATTAATTAAAATACGAAAGTTAACAGATGATAATTAATATAATAAGAAGCAATGAAACAGGTGTGCGTATGTGGGTGTGTATATGTATATGTGTGTGTGTGTGTGTGTGTGTATGTATGTATGCATGTATGTATGTATGTATGTATGTATGTATGATTATCATTGCTATACTATTACTATTGAATGAAATATGTTGATCATAAAAATGGTTGATAATTATGAATTGAAATAACGGAAAAGGAAAACAATATTCGAAATTAAATTGTATCAACAATAAAATAATTGAAATTTTTAATCTAATGAATATGTTAATGAGAATTTATGCGATCAATCATATTATTTTGATAAATGATAATTGAATGATGACGATGATCATTAATATTATTATTGTTAATGAGAATTTGTGCAATCAATCATATTATTTTGATAAATGATAATTGAATGATGACATGATTGTTAATATTAATATTATTATTATTATTATTATTATTATTATTATTATTATTATTGTTATTATTATTATTATTATTATTA